GCTCACCCAGATGGTATGCCCGCACACGCATGCCCACACCTGAGGCCCACCTGCGTGTTGCCCCCAGTGCTCTCCTGTACCAGGCTCCGCGACATGGAACAGCTCACGGGGAAACACTGGAAGAAGCTGCCAATGAGGTTACTGAGGCCAAGGGCCACCAGCTCCTGTTGGGGGAGTGTGGTGTGAGAAGCATTGCCAGGGATGCCAGGTCACTCTCCTGGTACGTCTAGGCGGACACACTCCCAACCCCCATTCCTGCTCAGTGGCCTCCAGTATCTGGCTGTTGTCCCAAACATCCCATTCTCTCACCCTCATCACTTTCAAGTCCTGCCTGACCCTTGTCTCTCTCACTCCTGTCATCTGGGCCTGTGTACACCTGTATGTCCCCACATGATCCGAATCACAGACCTGGTTACTGTCCACACGGTAGCCATGCCTCAGGGCAAAGATCTTCCCGAGTGAGATGGCGATGGCGAAGCCCACCACAGCGATGGCAAAGGCGTTTCCCACAAGCTTTGCAAACAACTCTGTCTTGGGTGGCACTGGGGGTATCAGCCTGGGAGGGACATCGGTGAGGTCGGGGAACCGCTCTGGCTCTGGCTGCCCCACCTCCCTGAAGGCACCAGCGCTTACCCTGTGGTGATGTTGCCCACCACGTCTATCTGGAATCTTTCATTCAGATTCGCACCAAATGAAATACCAGTGGCCCCAATGAGCTGTGGAGACAGGACAGAATTAGGGGAGGGAGGTCCTGCCAGTACCATAAGGGGGAAGGGTAAACCATTATGGGGGACAGAAATCTTTTTCTGAGGAAGAAGCTGTGGATAGGGGGAGAGGTAAACATTACCATGTGAGGAAGGGGATAGGCTGCCCAGGCTGGTAAAAAGCCAATGATGGGGTTCCCTGCTGCAGTCGCCCCACAACACCCAGGAATCCTGACAGTGGGCACCCCATCTGGTCCTCAGATACCTGGAGGTTGTGTACTGGCAGCGCAGATCTGCCCTCACTTCCCCTTCTCCGCTGCCCACCATGCCCTGGCACCCGAACCAACCGTGAGCAGTTCCCCGGGTATGGGCAGGGGCAGATGCCGCTTTAACTTTTCATTCAGCAGCTTCACCATCACAAGCACCACTCCGGCCACAAGTGCCGTGACCACGGTGCCGGGCACGGTCAGCGGCAGCTTTGAGCAGACCTCCAGCACTGTCTGAGGAGAAGCGGTGTTATAGCCAGGGTTCGCGGTCATGGGGCACGGCACGCCTGCCCTCCCTCGCCCCACCCTCACTCACATAGATAACGGACAGCGGCCCAGAGTGCGTGGTCAGTTTGATGCCGAACACATACTTGAGCTGTGAGACAAGGACTTGCACAGAGGCGGCTGTGGTGTAGCTGCGGACCAACGGCTCCGACAGGTAGGTGACCACGAAGCCGAAGTGTACCAGGCCCAGCCCCACCTGTTGGGGGGTCAGGGAAAGTCAGGGAGGCAGAAACCATTAGGCCAGAGGGATCAGAGGGACAAATGACAGCCAGAAGACACGGGGTAAGGCAGACGCTAGGGGGTGGCTGTTCCGAACCTGGAAGAGGCCGACCAGGAAACTGAGTGTGTAGGCCACCTGCACTCGGGCATCATCAACCGTGGCGTTCAAGCCTTGCACAAAGGCCTCGTCCGCAGTCAAGGTTTCTGTCACGCCGCCCACCATCACGGACATCACAGCAAAGGTCCCTGAAGGGGCAGGACAGGGCGGTTCTGAGGGGAAGAGGATGCTGTCCTGCTCTGGAGCTCTGCAGAGCCAGACAGACATCCTCTGGAGGCCAGCAGACATCCCATCCCGAACAAATATCCTTGGCCTACAGTTATACAAATGGAGGCAGCACTGGTTAGACATGGCCAAGGTCAGAAATGACCCTTGAGCTCACGAGCTCTTAAGGCTAGCCTGTAATGGTGACCTCCTCTCACCACCTTGTCTCACCGGGGTCCAGTGTTCTGGGACACAAAGGCTCTCTGGGAGCAAGAAAAGGATCGTAGCCGGGCTGGACAGGCCTCTCGGAATTCCCAGGCCCCATGAACTGTCTCATTCACCCGGAAGCCAGGGCTTAAGAGATATTCTGAACTTGTAACCTCTATAGTCAGTTTCCTAGTCCTTCTTGGGGTGGTCCATATGCTATTCTCTTAGTGTCCTAACACCCACACTGCCCTCTTCCCCAGGCTGCCCTGCCCAGCCTGCCCCTCCCCTCTACACAAGACACCCTCTATGAAAAGCTAGGCCTGACTTCACTTACCCACAGAGATGTGTCGAGAGGTACCAAATAGGAAATAGACGAAGACGGGGTAGAAAGAACTGTACAGGCCAAACATAGGAGGTAATCCCGCCAGGAGAGCATAGGCCAGGCCTGGAGGCAGAAGGTTGTAATGCAGACTTGGAGAACAGGGTCTCAAAAAGGTAGGGGAATCCAAGCCCTGGGTTCAGGGGCCAGGGCTCCTGGTCTGGGGTTCCACAGACCACAGAGCTTACAGTCCAGGCTGCTGAAGGTTAGCTCACCCTGTGGAAGCTGCATGATGGCCACACTGAGGCCAGATAACAGATCACCCAGGAGCCAGTCACGCACAGGATACCGGGGCAACCAGCCCAAGACTGGGACATAATGGAGCAGAAGAGCATGGGCCCGGGCACGGGAACATCTGGGGACATAAGAGTCCGTTAGAGCCAGGACGTGGGCCCTGCCAGAACACCCCAGCCCTTTACCCTCATCCTTACCGAAACCAGGCTCGCCACTGGTAGGTCTTGGGCACTGGGCCCCAGTGCCCCAGATCTTCGAGCTGCCCCTGGGTCAGCAACGGTCTTTCCACATGGTAGTCTCGTCTTTGCAGCTCCATCTCCCGGGCTGCAGACAGGAGTGCCTGTGTCTGTTGCGTCCCGTGGTCTAGAGAGGTGAGATCGCAGCCACACAGTGAGGACTCCCCTGTCCCAGCGTCTCCACTTCTACCTGGGACCACAGTGCCTCACACCTGAGTTTCCCAGGCTCAAAGATCAAGGGTAGATCCAACCCTGCTGGTCTCCGAGGGCCCCGTGCCCACACCCAGCCAGGGGCAGTTCCTGAACTTTGGCTGCTGGAAGCCTCTTTCTGGGCCAAAGTCTCTCCAGGAGGGAGAGTGGGATGACCACGACTTAAACATCCAGCTCAGGTGTGGCTGCCCAGCCCTGAGTACCACTCCAAGTTCATGTCCAGGTCCGGGTCCAGGTTCAGACCGGCTGCACCTCCTAGCCCCTACCTCTCTCGGCCTCTTGCCTTCCCTGAACCAATTCCTGTCCAGTCCTTTTTCCAGTCAGCTGTACCACAGGCCCTGACTCACTGGCAGAGAGCAAGTTTAGAGAAAGGACCGAGCAACCCAAAGATCTGTAAGCAATACTGCCCCAAGCTTTAGGACAGGGCCCACCTAGACACCTCTATCTCCAGGGTCCAAGCTCTCACCTCCAGAGACAGGCTCCCACTTGAAGTAGGGAGAATTCACCTGGAAACAGGAATTTTCAGAAGCCAATCCAACCTAGAGGGAACGCTGCCCAGAGAGCCATTACCAGCCAGGCAAGTTCTGACCTGGGGGTGAATCTCTCGGAGGTAGTGGGAGAAGGGGGTGGAGGAGGGAAAAGGTTCTCCTCATCTGGGGAGTTCTCTCAGAAGAAACTGAGCTGGGGGAGACTCCATATGGAATGCAGCTCTCCTCTGCGAATATATTTCGGGGAGTGGGCTAAGTCTGGAAGGTGAACTAGCCTTTGGGGAAAGTTTTCATCTGTCAGTTCTGATCTGGAAGCAGCTACAACCAGGGGACAGGGTCCCACCAGAGGGGTAGGACTCACCTGGGAAGAGCCTCTAACCGGGTGTCCAAGTTGGAGGAGGGAGCAGAGCAATACAAGGAAGATCCTCCGGGGTTCTCTGCACCGCGGGCGGGCCAGACCTCAGGGCCCCTCTCCCCTCCTTCTAGATCACTCAAGTCTTCTTAAAGGGCTCCCTCCCCTTACAAGGCAGCACGCGCACGGGGGCGGAGCCTTGATCCTCGGCCCCGCCCATTGGGAGGGTACACGGGTCCTGAGCGCCAGAGCGCTCACAACCACGCTGCCTCCGGCCGCCGCTGGTCCACGGCCAGGGGAGAGCCTGTCTCGCAGCGGTCCGTCTCCCGGTCCCAGGGCGCCCAGCCGGCGCACCTCCTGGGCCTGGGCTCCTTGGCAGGCAGCAACCTCCCCGCGACCCCCTGGTTAGCACTCCAGGGACTTTCCGCCTCAAGAGCTAGGGTCGCGCCGGATCCCGCCCCCATCCCTCGCTGCTGATGGACAACCACCTGCGGGAAATCGGCAAGGCGGTAAACGGAGGCTGTGCAGGCGGGAGATGCCTGCTGGGAATTCGGCGGTTCCCTTTCAGAACTGACCTAGGCCGGGGGGGTCACAGGACTGCTAACGTTTCGTGGACACGTGGAATTCGGGCGGCGCCCTGTAACTCACCGGACCCATCGGACAGCCCCATTGCCCTCAGGTAGCTCGAGTGCCGCTGTTGGGACAGCTCCCGCGGGAGGCCACTACCGGCGGGAAGGTGGCGCCAGGCCGGGAACGAGGCCGGCATCACGCTCCACCGCCAGGATGTGCATGCTCAGACCAATGAGAATTCTAGGGTGGAACCTAAGTCGTACTCTCCGGGCGGGGCGAGCCCGGCGATTGGGGGTTTAACCCTTTCCTTCCCGGAGGCCTAGCTTAAGTCTCCCCCCCTCCCCCCGCCCCGCAACACTAGTCGGTCGCAGCCAGATAACCAGCTGCCTGGAGCGAGGACTGTAAGAAAGGAGCTGTGCTACGCTCGGCCAATAATGTGTCTCCGTGCCCCTGAATGGATGGACCCGATCTTACGTTCTGGCTTTGTGGAGGCCCCTGTAGTGCAGGGGAGAAATTCTTGAATGATCTGGATGCCTAGAAGTGTAAGCAGGGACCCCAACCTCAACTGTGGGAAATCTAGGTCTGTAGGGTCTCTCAGGGACCCCCAAGCTGTAAGCACCACCCTCAGACTTTACCTCTAAGACCTGGCACAGTGGTCCTCAAGACCTCCAGCCCACTCCCCCCACCACCACCCCCACGTTTCTCTGTAGCCCTGGCTGTCCTGGAACTCTCTCTGTAGAGCAGGCTGCCCTCTGTATCAGAGATCCACCTGCTTCAGCCTCCTGAGTGCTGGGATTAAAGTTGTGATCAAAAGCATTCACTACTCGCTTCTCAAGGCCTCCCTTTCAGTTCTGGCTGCAAATGGAGCTGGGAGGGTCCCTTCCCACTCTGGAAACCCACCCCAGCCAGCGAGCTAGTAAGGGAAGGAAGCTCCTCTGGGCTTTCAGGCTTCTGGCTAGATCCAAGTCAGAAGGACCAGAGTCAGAGTGTGGGTGGGAAAGGCACACACCGAAAGGCAACTCCTAGGTTTAGTTTGACAATGGGCAGGACCACAAATGTCAGGCTCCAGATAGAAGGGAGCCCACACACTACTGCCTAGCCCCAGAAGGAGGCTTCTCGTGCCCAGCTCCTGTGTCTAACTTCAGGCTCCAGTCACAGGGCGAGAGGCCATATTTCAGAAAGAAATGGGAACCTGGTCCAAATCTGCCATGAAATGGGCTAAAAATAACTGGGTGTTTTGGAGGGAGGAGGACTCAAATTCTTTCAAAGGTCATTCTGGGCGAACCTTTCATAGCAACCACCATCTTACATCTGAAACAGAAAGAGGAACAAGTGTTTTCTATAGAAGTTTATTCCCAAAACAGAGCGCGGCTTCCCGGAACAGTTTACACAGACAGGAAAGAGGGCCACTGTGCTGAAGGGGGACCCCAGAGACGGTGTCTACAGAACCTAGGACATAGCGAGGACACTCCTCCGCAGACAGGCCACCCAGCCTTGAAGGGCAGAGGTCAGGTCAGCCTGGTAAGGAGAGCTAGGGACCTGGCTGGCAGGATTTGGCACAGGCAGTGAAGTGGGATTTTTGAATCTCAGAAACCGCCCCCCCAAGTGTACACATGGGGTGGAGGCGGCAGCATTTGCACAGAACCCCAGTCCTGAGTCTCCTTCAGGGTGTGCTGTTAAACAGAAGACTCAGCTGACCTTTGACCTGGGAAAGGTCGGGGTTAGAAGCCCCCCTCAAGATGGCCAGGTCCAGGGGCATCGCAGGTGGGTCTTCCAAGCCCCTCTCCCACTTCCCCTACCTTTCACTTGTAAACAAATGGGGGGGCATTCCCAACTGTAAACAAAGTGTCTAAGTTCAGTGTTTTCAGCTGTAGACAGTAAATAAAAACCAACAATTTAAAAAAATAATCTTGGCCTGTAAACAAAGTAACAAAAATTTAAAGTCCCCAGTCATGGGCATTCAGACAAATAACAAAGAGTTTTATGAACAGGATCCTAACAGTCATTCTTCCCTCTGTAAGGGACTAACCGGTCGGCAGTCACTGCTCTTCCTGTGCCCGGAGGATCCTGTCAGCAGTGGGAGGCTGGGGCACCTACATTCTGGGTCTTGGATCCCCTTGTTCCTGCTCCTGTCGCCCGCCCCACTCACCCCTCAGGGGGGCAGGGGAAGAAGCAGGGACAAAGGGGTGGCCCCTCCACCCACCCCTGGTAGGAATGTCTGATTAGAGGCCGGCGTCCCTCCCCAAGGGAGAAAGGGAAGCCTTGATCTGTAAACACGACTCTGCTGCTCCCCCGGCACCCACAGCAGCAGCAGCCCTAGGTCTTAAGGCGGTAGGTGGCAGGGACTCCAGGTAATATACACCCACATCCACGGGGTGGTGGCACAAACGAGCCCCGGAGGGGGTGGGAGGACCCCTGATTCTAAGACCAAGCCCCAAACACAAGAGTTTGGCCTATGGGGCCTTGGAGAAAATGCAAAGGTCAAATCTGCACTCTGGGCCCCAACAATGTTCAGATCAGTGCGGGGATGAGGCGGGAGAAAGTGTCCCACCTGTCCACTCCATCCGTAAGATGGAAAGAAGAGCAGATGGTTTCTAAGGACCCACATGAGGCCAGCTGCATCTCTCTCCCATCCCCTCCCCGTTCCAGCCCAGTCTCAGAGCCCTGGGAGACAGAAAAGCTGAAAAATAACATAAGCATATCTCTCTGGTTCCAAAGGTACAAAAGTATAAAAGTCCTCCCTTCAGCCCCCACCCTGCACCTGTCACACGCATGCCCACAGATGCGCATGGGACCTTCATACTGCACCACACTGGGTCGAGGGGAGGGCTTGAAGGCTGCCTTGGATCAGTCCTGACGTTTCTTCCATCAGCCCAAATCCTCCGCTGTCCTTGGTGGCTCCTCATCTGCGGGTCGGCCCCTCAGGAGTGACCTTCACTTCTGGGAACTCTGTTGAGTTGAATGTAGAAACGGAAGGCCAGGGCTAAGAGGAGCGTTCCCTCTCAGTCCTCAGCCCCTGCATGCCCACGCCAGGATTCTGAGCCCTCCAGATGCCCATGTGGACCTCCACTCCCAAGCCTCATCAGCAAGTGGCTGCCTAGGTCTCTCAGTGTTTAGCAAGCCACCTTCTATGCAGACACTACACGAAGCGTCGGTAAGCCAGATAAGGTCACAAATCTCCACATTTCAAGGAGTTTGTTTCTATAAACTAATTCTACAGACCAAGAGCTGCTGTGTAGCTTGTACTGTGCCAGGGTCGGAGATGAGGGATGGAATGCAAACCCAAACTCTTGTGACTCTAAAGCCTGGGTCCCTACTCAGTCCTGGCCCTTCTGCAGAGCCCAAGGCTAGACTGCGGGGGACCCACGTGGGTTGTCTGTTTCTCACCCTTCCCTTTCAGCATCCCTCTAGAACTCCAGGCCCCCAAGCCCTGCTTCCTGCCCCCTCCCTGTCCTCTCAACATTGGGCCCTGCTAGTCCTCTTGGTCCCCTGCCCCATCCCCAGAGACCCTCTTCCCTCAGGTCATCTCTCTCCCAGGACAGACAACTCTCCTATTGGCTGGTAAGACCTGGCAACTCCCCGGCCGGGCCCTGCTCACTCTGGGTCTGGCAGCGCTTTTCTCTGCTCCCCATTCCTTCTTGGATTCCTGTGTATCCAGCCACTTGTGCTAGCTCTGAAAATCACCCCCGTGGATGCTCTGTAGGCACTTGAGTTGTACTGTGCCTAACTCCACGGTGCCCACAGCGGGGAGCAGTTTCATGCTGATGGAATACAGCACGGAGTGAATGACTTCCTCTAAAGTGACTCCTCAGTCTGGCATAACATGCTAGTGTTCCATATGACCTCTTAGGCCGGGCCTTCGGAACAAAGATTCCTCTCATTGCCTCATGCAAATGCCGGGCGGGATATTTCGTACTTTGATGCCTTGACCCCTGCCTACGCCCTCCACTAGTGCCAGCCTTTGGGGGCACTTTTGGGATGTGTAGGGTTGGGAAGCTGGCCCTAACCATACAGCCAGCAAGTTCCGGCTAGTTCTGTTCCCATGTCATGCTAGAACTGTTCCTAACACGTGGTCCCCCTGGCTGTGCTGAACCTTGGGGTAACCCATATCTGTGGGCCAACTCCCAATTCATTCTGCAGTGGAACTCAGGGGTGGGCACGTGGGGAAGCTGCTCCAAGCTGACGAGAGTGTGAACAGGTGTCTGGGCCCCCGCTTACTCTGAATCTGGGGACAACTCCGAGATGCTGTGGGATGTGGCTGAGCGAGGTGTGGAAGGCCCAAGTGCAGAGGCTGTGGCCGAAGGCGTGGCAGTGGTGTGAGGGCCCGAGGGCGTGCTTGAGGACTGCACAGAAGACAGGGCTGAGGAGTTGAAAGAGGCAAGGATAGAGGAGAGAATGTCCAGTTGCTCTGTGGAGGGGCCATGGTTAGGGCCACTGGCCGGGTCCTCCCTGGCTCTGAGAAGCTGTGGGGCTGGTCCAAGGGCCTCTCGTGAGGGATGCCGACTAGGCACCTGGTCCAGCCGCTCCCGAGAGTTCGAGATCCTAGATAGAGAGTCCAGGGGCCGAGATGGTAAGAGGGGGTCCCTTGAGAGTTGCCGCTGTGGAGACGGGGCCAAAGGTGGGTGATGTGGGTCAAGGTCCCGGTTGCGGCGGGGTGGGGGCAGTGTGCTCAACCATTCTCGGGGCGCCCCTAAGTCCAATGCATCCCGTGACCCAAAGCGTCCAGCCATAGTGCCAGGGTAGTCCCGGGGTGGCTGCCTCCGTGGTAGGGTGCTGCCCCGGTCTCTGGGCTCCAGGCGGACTGGTGTAGCATCCAGGTGTTCCTGGGAGCCTGGCCGGCTCAGGGGATGCAAAACAGGGGCAGGAACCGGAACTTCCTCTAGTCTCTCCCGGCTCAGCTGTCGCCTCAGGAGCAAGTCCAGCTGTTCTCGAGAAGAGTAGCGGCTGGCTGGCTGTGAAAGGCTACCTGTGCCCCCACCTGCATAGATGCGACCATAGGAGGCAGCCGGAACAGCACGGTGGCCCAAGGTAGCTGCACGGCACCAGGATAGCTCAGGAGTGCCTCGAGTCTGGGACACCAGTGGGTACTGCAGCCTGTTCTTCAGGATGCCTGTGGAGGAATTGGGGACAGGTGTATGACAAAAAGCAGGCAGGGATCTAACCAAGGAAGTGCCAGTTCCTGGGATCTTGTACAGAACTAAAGTCAGAGGCAACCAGAGTCCTAGACAGACAGAGTAGGAGGTAGTAATCTTGTGAGTCAAGCTAGGGCAGTCATGGGGCAGGGGCAGGGCAGTCATGGTGCAGGGTCAAGGCAGACTCCCGAGAAGTCAGACTCGGGATAACTCTAAGTCATGGAAATGTGGGCCTGGGTCAGAAGGGCAGGAATTCCCTGGGTTGGGGCAGGATCGGTCTCCAATGCTCCTGTGATGCAAGACCAAGGACAGAAACCTCTGTGCTGGTGCAGGGACAACCTTGGGGACAGCTACAGCCAGTGTAGAGACCAAGAGCTTCCAGACCAGAGCAGGAGCTCTGGGCTCTGAGGCTCAGCAGCCCCTGTGGGTTTGCACCATGAGTGGGAATGGAGAAATGGAAGGAAGATGGCTTCTGAGGATCCAGGAGTACAAGGCAGGATCTGGAGGGGCGGGGACTCCATGGATTAGGCAGTCTCTGGGGACCAGGAGGAGGGTGGAGGAGCAGGAGCCTGTCAGACTGGAGCAAGGTGACCTCCCCATTTGGGATCAGGAAGCTGAATTCCCAGAGTCTGGGCCTAAGCAGCCTTTAGGACTCCTACAGCCAGGGCGAAGGACCAGGAAAGGTCATACCTTTCCTCTGCCGCTGGGCCCGGCCCATTGAGGTCTCATCCCCACTGGTCAAGGCCAGATCTGGCTGGTTGTTGTTGGCTGCGTCTTTGTCGGTGTGTACTCCCAGGCGCCTTTCAGAGCCCCACGCCTGCAGAGCACACGGTGCCGCCTCGCACTCTCCCAGGGCTGGCCAGTAGGTCAGGAGGTCATTGCCGTCCATATCTGTGAAGCCAGAGCAGGTTACAGGAGCTCTGGCTCGACTCCAGGGTCTCCTAACACTGTGATCAGACTCAGTGACCCCTGCACCTGAGGATGCTTCAAGCCCTGGCTGTCCTCACTGAGGACGGGAAAGGGAGAAAGCTGGCGAGATGGCTGGGCAAGGAGGCAAAGCACTTGGCCACC